CCTGAAATAACGGCGACTGCGCTAACTGAGGCACATGCTAAGACGAAGACACCTGCTAGACAGTATCACTTTTATTACATTGAAGGCCACCCGGATCTGTCGATCGTGCCAGGAAAGAGGCGAACAGTTTAAAACCTTGTGAGACACCGTCATGGCTGACGTCGAAGTTCTCTTTAAGGTGTCACTGTACACATACAAGCGGTGGGAAAGACTGGCAGAATTTGGTATCATACATTCCGCGTGGAAGGAAGTGGTTTGTTACGTCATTCCAACTGCGTAAGGCATTGGTAGTGACGACCTTAACAGTAAATGGTGCCCACTGCATTTGTTACTACAAAGCAAAGTCATATTTGAATGACCCCTTAAACGAGTTAGGGCAGGAAGCGATGCAACGAGCATTCAACCCTGGTATCAGAGTAGTTAGACAGTTTACAGTTATTAGCGTGATATAAAATATTGTAAAATATTTACATTATAAAGACTCGGGCAACTTCGGTCATGGTCTGTCACCAGGCACCAGCATTTTAGCGTTTTATATACTTTTACTGTATTTGTCTTCTACTTCCTCCGCAATTAATATAATGTATAACTCTGTAAAGTATACCAGTGGATATGCTGGCATATACTCCAGGCTTAGACAACTTTTTCGCTTTCTTTCATGTAGCATGCGCCAGCTGCGCTGTTGGCGGTGTCTCGGTTTGCCTCTGCTTTTTTCTAACTGGATATGTCACATTACGAAAAGCTGAATATGGACTCTTTCGTTCGTTACGAAAAGCGGAGTTTGTTGGCGGCTTGTACTCATATCGTAGAGCATAACTGACGAACATAGATGCATAAGAGTTTCGCTCCATTTGAACGAAAGTGCTCGATGTATCTGCAGCATTTTGATTTATGGTTACTTGCATTACTTATGCAAGTCGCTTATTGTTAGCGGCTGAACGGACCCTGTAACCCAGCGCGGTAGTTTCTTTGTTATTTCTTTCTAGAATTCCTACTTTTATCGGTCGCTTGTTTATAAATACATTCCAGCAGTTTCGAGCAACGGAAATGCCCATGTCGGTGTTTCTGAACAAGTACGATGATTCCTATTCAAACATGACATATTATCGGTCGATCGAATGAACATCAAGTGGTTGTGAGCTACAATAGGTTTTTAACCATAATTTATTACCATTGTCGCCTCAGTTATTGTATTATTGATTACTCGTGTAGGTTCCATTCATTGGCAGCACATTCTAATGTATGATTAATTTTTAGGGGAAACCTATAACCTGCCTCTAATCGAGAACTTCAAACGTACCTGTACCGATTGTGAAACCTGTTCTACGAATGATATGCACGCGATGCTTCAAACGAATCCAAGGCCAGGTAATATAAGTTTGTTTCGTTTATTTCATTTTCATTGAGATTTGACCATGTATATGTATGTATATTAAATTACCGGCTTCGGTTTGGCTTTGTCTTGTGATTAAGGAGGCGTTGTTTTCGTCATTTGACGATAGCGGTATCTGATCAGCGATGTAACCCATGATCGTATGATCAGAAGTTTCAGCTATCCAGCTATTTCATAGTGCACTTGACGGAACAAGACGAGTCAGCACTGCTTCTTCACACTGTCTGCTGCTGCAGGCAGCTAAATCGCCGATTACCATACGAAATACGCCGGTGCTATCTGCCTTGCGATGAATCATATTAAGTTTTCTGTTAAATTGTTTTTTTGTTAACAAATTTACATTTATTTAACGTTCAAACTCTAAAATCACTTAAGCTGAAGACTGACAATACCATTGGGCAGTTACAGCGAATAAAATTATTATTATCATGAAATTTGTTATTCAAATGTTTAGTAATAAAAGAATTTACGTATTAATGTTAGCACCTATCTGTAAGTACGTACGTATGTTCATTCGTGACTGTACAAATCTCATCATCCATTCAGAACACTGGAGAGGAAAGTGAGTATACTGTTATTCTGAATTTCTTAGATATGATCAGGCAAGCTGCGTAAAAGGTTTTCTCTGTTACCTTCCGGCATCAGTCTTACGTCTTACGAATATTTCACCTGTTGGCGAATTATCCTTCTGCATTCGAAACGATTTCGCCAAATGCTTTATTTTGGTACAGATGGATCGTGGTTCCAAATCATTCTATTTCGTTACTGTGTGTACTGAAGATTACAACACAATTTTTTCCATACCTTGTAATTGTAAGTTAATTCATGAAGAGACCTTGAAGAAATTTTTTAAATTCTTCGTCGCTGAAATGCTTCAAGTGTTTATTTTGCGTAAATTTTATTAGAGGAACAAGTCCGACGTTTCTGATTTAATTGGTTTTATTTTGAGGAGACATTATGTGCCAAAAACTGCAGAAACAATGTCAGTATACTGTGCAATAATAAGTTGTAAATAGGATCAACGAATTGTCGATACCTATTGTTGTTCAAACTGATTTAGAATATAGATGTAGTACTAAATTTAGAAACAAAGATGCAATTCACTATTGATTTTCCTCAGCAACTTCTTTGTTATTTTTTTCAGATTTATGACAGGTTCTCACTCCTGTTAACTCTGTTCAGGTATTCGTATACTTGTATAAAGAGAGTTTCTTTAATTTTCCGCTTCCAGCATTTCTTTCACGCCATATCCTCTTCTTGTTTTTCCAATCAATGCTATGATCCTCTTTCACTGCGTATTAGATCAGTACGAGTTACTTTCGCATTCCATTCGTATTTCTGTTGTGTACTTCCTCTCTTCTCCCATGCATCTTTTGATCTTTTGCTCGTTCTCGTTAATCGGCGTTGTTCCATCTTGTGAAGTACAAGTGGTGATCTTTCTTAATGTCTTCGAACCTCTTTCTGGTTTGGCCAACGTACATAGCTCCGCCTTTGCAGTGGTTATTGTAAATCAACTCTAGTAATACTCCTCCTCGTTTTTACCTGAGTAAACTGCATGCATAAAGATTACGTCAGACCAAGGTTTGAAATTTTTTTTCATAACTTCTCATAGAGATCAGATACGTAACAGATGAGAACTATTGAGATACTGTCGTCTTGCTTCTTGACCAACTTTACTTGGTTCTGTTGTTTCGATTCCTGTTTGATCTTTTCATAAATAAACTTTTCTGGATAAACGTTTACTCAACGTTAGACTGAGTAGCTCGTTGGGAACCATGTTACTGGTACGCCATTTCCAGTAATTGTGGTAAAAAAATGTTTCAAATGTCTGTTTTAACTCTGAGTGGCTGGTTAAACTTGAACAGCAGAATATGACACGAATCGGTCGGTTTATGGTAGACTCCTATGATGTAAATTTCCCTTCTTCAGGCGCATGAGTTGTTGATGTTTCTGTCGCCTATGTAATTCTGGCCGCTGTTTTGTCATTGCATATAAAGTATCTGTTTTGTTTCTGAGTTATTTGTTTTTTGCCGACAAACTGCAAGTTTAAATTTCAACTCATCATTTTTTTACCTGATAGATAATGGATGGTATTTGTTCAACTACAAGTTCGGAACGGCGTTGCAGCGTTGGAAAAGATGGGAGAAACATCTTAGCGGTCAGCAGCCCAGCTTGGATCAGCAGATCTTTCCACAACACATCACGTTCGTAGATCTTTCGCATCTGTGGTAAATGTGATTTTGCTATCATTTATGCAAGCAGCTGCATTTACTTACTACTGTGTTCTCGACCGATAGTGATTTATGGGATTCAAAGTGATGCGAGCAAAACCTCCGGCTAATCACTCCTTTCAGCTTTCAGCTTGAACTCATGTCCAGCAGTATGTCAGTTAAGACTATTAAAATTACACTCTGGTGACTCATTTTTAGTCGTTCAAGTAATGCCCATTGGTAGACTGGCGGTTCTTCTATGGTTGCCATGAATTAGTCTTGTAAAACTTTTTTTACTTCTTCCTTTCACAATCCCCGGAAAGAAGTGCAACGAATTTTCGTGATATGGAGCAAGGCCGCTTGATTTGGTATCTTTTATCCGTCGTTTTTAAATGCTTAGCATTTTTCATTAGCTAAGCTGAGCGGTCAGTCAGTTAAACATTTACTTTCATAATAGCCAATGACGGAACAGTCAAAAACTTATTTATTCTCTTCTCAGGGTGACGACAATGAAAATGTTTGGGGTTTCGGTAATACCGATGTTCCAGATTTCTGGATATTCCACGCCTAGATAGCAAAAGAATGGTATTTTCAAATGCGGCTTGATGTTTCAACGTGTTAGTGCATTGTTGGAAATGTAGAAATTTTCTTGATCCGCTGTTGAGGACCCCACACAAGACCAGTGGTGAAAATTTTATTGCTGACAGGTTTGGCTGCCACACTGATAGGACTCTCGTGGAATGCTACACTCTCCGTTTCTAGGTATTGTCATTTGATCATCGTTACGATCGTCCATTCATCTTGCCCTATATCGGCATTGGCTCTCCAGAGGGTATATGAAACGGTGAAAAGATTTAATCATGCATTCCTTTGAGATTAACAAATGTTGTCACTCCAGTCATTGTATCAGAATTTGTAATCACGGTTTCTTTTTTCTGTACGTAAGTGGGTGGAAAATTTAAACTTGCATAGCGAAGCCTCAAGCTCTACCTCTGTGTGGACAATGGCCAATTGTCGACGATCGTTCATTGTCGGTATATTCATCTTCGAAATTTGCCTATAACTTCTGCTCGGGGTGTGGCGAATTGAGCTGGTGTTCCCGGTTATCGTTTGTCGAGCAGCTTGAAATGGTGCTTGCGGTACGTCCGTAATGCATTAAGTATATAACAGAATAAAAGATGGACAAGCCATGGACAACAATCTTACGACCGTGAATATAGTAGGGTTTATGTAGGTGCCTTTTCCTTCGCAAGGTTTATGCAGCGCTTGAACACTGCTAGTCTTCTAATACCCCAGTCAGAAACAATGCCAAGAATGCTACATCTGTAAATTTTGATTCTTATATATCGGCAGCTCGTTTGAGAGAGCTGGTTGATCGCCAGCAAAGACCATGAGGGTTGAGCGCTTCGAAAAGAGGGTGGGGTGAGATGTTGATGGGCTTCTCATAGGCCACTGACATGCAAAGCTGGTTTTGATGGTCCAATACCTGTCACCGTGACCGTTTGACGGCAAAAATCGCCGGACGGCAAGGTCGAATAAAGCTAAGGCTAAGCACGCATCTCTTAGTTGGTTCGCATTGTCGGCATCAGTAGTTCGCAACTGTGAAGCTTATCTTTATGCTAAAGCATGCAATACATAAGTACGTATTTTAGGACCGAAACCATCGTTCTTTCTATGCTGCTGTGTTCTTCAGCTTATGCGGTTGTCTTGTATTACTTCGTGCGACTTTATTTCCTAAAGAACCGGCTGGTAACTATTCAACAACTATTTTCATCACTCACTAACTGTAATTTTCAAGCTGCTAGAAATTTTAGTTTATGCGTTATTAGAAATTTCAGTAAACGAAATTTAAATAAATGTCGTTAAACAACAATAGACAATACTAGCAATAAAATAATATGCCGCGTTTTAAGGAATATTTCTACCGCTAAACGAAGGTGCCGCCGTACATGAGAATATTCTGCGTTCTTCTCTCCCTGGCTCATTCATACCAGCACATTGCTTGTAACTCTAGGCATTAAGTAATAAATAATATTAACAGGCTGATACTGACACTACTCAGTTAAAATCGTACGAATGTTTTTTAATCACTGGATTTTATCACTCGATCCAATGTTCTTTTTTGACATGTGCTGACGACTGTCAAAGTAAATGCCGTATTCAGTACAAGCAGAGACAGCCAGGCACTGTAACGGGTAGAGTTA